ATATTTAATGGCTCGGTTCACGTTTAACCGATCATGCGGGGAGACCTGTTTATAACTTTGCCTTGGCATATGGTTTGATACAACTAGTTACTTCGCCTACGCGGATTCCAGATGTGGAGGATAATACACCTTCCCTGTTGGACCTTATGCTGACCTCTCATTCGGACGGATATCAGGTTTCTGTAGATGCCCCTCTCGGCTCTTCGGACCATTGTCTAATCCGGAGTGTGGTGCCACTCACGCTCCCCTCGCAGTTGCGTTCTGCAGGTTGCTGCCGTGTTTGGCATTACAGGTCAGCGGATTGGGACGGAATGCGGTCTTTCTTTGCATCCTACCCATGGGGGCGGGTTTGCTTCTCGCCGGATGATCTCAGCGCTGTTGCTGACTCTGTCACTGATGTGATGCTACAGGGAATGGAACTATTTATTCCATCATCTGTGGTACTCATCGGAGGCAGATCTCAGCCTTGGCTTGGTCGCTCCTGTAAGACTGCTTTACGCAGTAAGCAGGAGTGTTATTAAGCCTGGGTTGCGGCTTCGGCGACCTGGGATGTTAACACCAGCATGCTTAAAAGAAGTATAACTTCGCCTCCAGGTCCTTCAAAAAAGTTATTGCCAAGACAAAGTCAGAGCACATAAGCAGAATTGGCAAGAAACTAGTTCGCCTTCCTTCAGGAACCCGTGCATTCTGGTCTCTCGCCAAGGCTGTCCAAGGGAATTTCTGTAAGCCATCACTACCATCTCTGCACAGGGAGGACGGCTCACTGGCCTACGCCGCAAAAGAGAAAGCCGACCTTTTAGGCTTCCTTTTTGCGTCCAACTCGACTCTTGATGATGGAGAGAACACTCTGCCGACCATCCCGCGGTGTGAGTGCTCCATGCCGGATGTGCTGTTCTCACAGAGCTCGGTTCGCAAAGCACTCCTCTCCCTGGACATCCACAATTCGAGTGGGCCTGACGGAGTCCCCCCAATTGTGCTGAGGACGTGTGCTCCGGAGTTGTCACCGGTTCTAACGCGTCTTTTCCGGTACTCCTACAGGGAGTAGGCGTAGTCCCGAAATCATGGAAGACAACTTTTGTCCACCCGATAATAACCAGCTCATGCGGTACCTTGAGGATCACCAGCTCATTAGTGACCGCCAGTACAGTTTCCATCGAGGTCGCTCAGCTGATGATCTTCAGGTTACCTAACTCATAGATGGGTGGAGGCAGTGGAGTCCAAGGGGGAGACGTTGGCCGTTAGTTTGGACATATCGAAGGCTTTCGATCGGGTTTGGCACAAAGCGCTTCTTTCGAAGCTGCCTTCCTATGGGCTTCCCGAGAAATTGTGCAATTGGATCACCAATTTTCTTGCAGGTCGGAACATCAAGGTCGTAGTAGACGATGCATGCTCCGATTCTTTTTACTTTAAAAAAAAAACGTTACCCCTACACTAGGATTTTCTCCTGTATCATGGAGGCAGTTTACAAACATATATTGCAAAAGGACAAACATCCAGACCCGGAACAATAATTTGTAGGCCATACAAATACTCGTTCCGTGCGGGATTCGAACCCGCGGCTCTAAGCGTTACAACTCATTGCTAAGCCACTACACCACGGAGCCGACAATTACAAGCCCATTAACGTGGTATTTCACAAGGCTGCGTGCTATCACCAACGCTGTTTCTTCTGCATATCAATGATATTTTGCAAACCAGTAACATTCATTGATATGCGGACGACAGCACTGGTGATGCTCTATACACCGGCCTTGCCAATATTTCTCGGGAAAACGTCGCCGAGTACCGGAACAAACTTGTGTCTGAGCTCGAGACTTTGTTGAACAAAGTCTCAGACTGGGGGCGACTAAATCTAGTCCAGTTCAATCCCCAGAAGACACAAGTTTGCGCGTTTACCGCTAAGAAGAAACCCTTTGTCGTATCTCCTCAGTTTCAAGGCACTCCCCTTGTTGCCTCAGCCAGTATCGGTATCCTCGGTATCGACATATCGAGTGATGTGCAGTTCATGGTCACTTGGAAGAGAAGGCCAAATTGGCCTCTAAAAAGCTTGGCGTGCTCAGCAGAGCGGGACAGTATTTCATGCGGGCACACCACTTACAACTTTACAAGGCGCAGGTTCGGCCCCACATGAAATACTGTTCCCATCTCTGGGCAGGGGCTCCCCAGTGCCAGCTCCTTCCACTTGACCGCATCCAGCGCAGAGCGGTTCGAATCTTCGACGACCGAGTTCTTTCCGATCGGCATGACTCTCTGGCACTGCGTAGAGATGTTGCATCTCTTTGCGTATTTTATCGCATCTATCACGGGGAGTGCTCTGAGGAATTGTTCAGACTAATTCCAGCCGCTCAATTTCACCATCGCACATCACAGCAAAACTCGCGATACCATCCATATCATCTGGATGATTGGCGGTCCACCGCTGTGCGATTTAGAAGAAGTTTTCTCCCACAAGGAAGTTGTGCAAACTTTCTTGTGGAATCGATTACCACCAGCGATTTTTCCGGACCCATACGACTTAGGGACCTTCAAGAAAAGAACCTACTCCTTTTTAAAAGGCCCGCTACGCATCAGCGATTCCCCTGGTCCTGCAATTGTTCATGGCCGACGGTAGTCACTTACCATCAGGTGAGCCGCATGCTCGTTTGCCCCTTCTCCTATAAAAAAATAAATAAAATTTTCACTGATTTGCAAACCCTATTTCAGAAAAATTAAAGAGTAAACTACGCAGAATGTACCTACATTTCTACCTAATTCGTGGAGCGACAAAAATTTTAAAAGATCTAACCTAATGAAACAACCTAAACGAACACTTACTTTTTCATAATAAACTTCAAATTTACAGAAATGGCTCAAAGTGGGCTCCGCCTTGCTCAATACACAACCTCGCTCGTTGGGATATGGCTTGTGTGGCATTTAGCACTATAGGCGGTGTTATTGATGAGAAAACCGATCTAACCGGCAACTGTTGAGGAATCGAAAAAATACACTCTGTCCTTCACATAACCCCAATAAAAGAAGTTCAAGCGAGTGAGGTCCGGAGAACGAGCAGGCCATAGCACTGGTTCCCCGCAGCTGATCCATCCTCGCGGAAAACGAACGTTAAGATGTTCTCTTACGTTGCGAGCAAAATGTGCCGGAGCTCCATCATAATGAAACACCATGTTCCTCTGGTTCTCCAAGTAATCCCAGTCAGCCACAGGAAAGTCGTCAATCGCCTCTTCGAATTCCGGTTGTAAAAACGTTAGATAGTTGCTACCGCGCAGACGTGATTGCATAATGACGTGACCGATGACATGCCCGTCATAAAGACCAGCCCACACATTCAGCCGCCACTGGTGTTGGAATCTGCCCTGCCGTGAAGCATGTGGATTTACGCGAGCCCAAACGTGATCGTTATGCATATTTGAAAGTACTAACGTCGTTGACGTTGCGTCGTCCGTCCAAAGAACATAGTTTACGTAATTAGGGTTTTCTTCTAACTGCCTGATGTACAACTCGCATAAGTTCCTCCTGGGTGCAAAATCGGGGGCTATCAGCTCCTGTGTACGGCGATAGTAATAAGGGTAACAATTGTCGTCACGAAGAATTCGCCAAACTGCAACATGGTTTATACCGAATCTGGTTCCGGCTCGCCTCGTACTTGTGGTCGGCTCTTCTTCAAAATGCTCTAACACTAATTCAGCCTGCCTGACGTCGACTGTGCTTGGACGTCATCTTCCAGTAGACCGATGAAAAGAGCCGGTGGAATGTAGTCGTCTTGACATGTTCAGAAAACATGGCCTACGCATAACATCATATCGTAATATTCCGAGTTAGAAAGCATCGTTATTTTGCAAAAAATGTTTGAAAAAAAACTCGAAACAGTTGTAGGATATCGATTAGAAGATTTGAAGTTTACAACATATTTTTTTTTCAACTTGACATTTTTTGAAGCCAGTACTTGAATCGACGTAGCAAACATTTATGAATGAAAAATAGAAAAATTATTAAAGTAGACAATTACTAGCTAAAATAGGTACGTAGGCCTTTCTGTTAAATAATCTAGTTCCCTGACATGACAGCTTACTAGGGTTGACAAAATTTTTGGCTTTGATAATTGATTTTATTTTTTACGGGGTATTTTGTAACACGTTGTATGTATCTTTTTGTGTAGTAAATAAAGTTATATTTTGTAGCACTACTTTAAAAAATGAGTGCCCCGTCGCGTCGCGTTGCGTCTCGGTGTGTGCTGACCCTTAGACGTTTTGGGCAAAACAACGGCCATTTGCAAATTATGTCAAATTTAGTTCCCGGTACAATCAATGGCTGTGCTTCAAATCGGCTCAAAAGTGTTAGTATAGCCAGTCCAGCGTGCTAGTATGTATAAAGATCAGTGACCTTCAAATTAAAAATACATCGATTGAATTCGATGCATCGGCACTATACATCGAGTGCTTCTAATGCTTTATAATGATGTCCTGATTCGATAATTTTGTTAAAACGATTATGCTTAAAAGGAAAAGTCGACCACTAATCGATTATATTAATAACTAATCGATTATATTATATATCCTGTTTTAGAATCTAAAAAATCTTAATAACAAGTTTTTATGAAGATACGCGTCTTGTATTCAAATTTCTAAAAGGAGTCAAGTATACAAAGTTACAAAGGACATAAAATATTTTTTCTCAAAGTTTAATCAACTCATCGCAGTGCATCGATGTATATCGCACATCCCTAATCATTTTACAAATATTCAACATTAATCTGTGTCTGTGATTCATTCGATTTTATGCACAGAGTACTTTTTTATATTATGTATTGTTTCGGTTTCGCTCAAGAAACGTGTTTCCCATAGATTACTGTGTATATACTAGAGAGTGTTTCCGTTCTGAAGTGAAGAGTTTATTTTGTTTTTCGTTATACCGCCACACGTGTGTTAATTATCGATCAATTATCAAAACCAAGACGCCTTGTACAATCAGCATTTTGACAAATATTTACATTGTATTTTCTCAAAATGGTGGTAGTCTCGCCTTCATTTTCGGTACCGGTGGAGGGTGTTATTATGCAGAGTCCATCAACTAAATTGCTCGTAAATGACCAAGAACTTGGAACTGCAACTTTATACATCACTCAAAAGTAAGATATACTACACTTGTTTCAGATTTTGTTCATCGTTTGACTTTCATTTTTCATTCATTGCCAATTTCACCAAATGGTTAATGGTTGGGATCCAATAAGATTTTTAAAAAGTATGCCTGATGCATCATTATAATCTTTGCTTAATTTAATACCCGTTTTTAGTCCATAAAAAATGTCATAAAACGCCTGTAATGTGCTTAATTGTCTTGGTCGCCCCCGTAACCACGAACTGGAGAGAATCAAGAGTACAACCATTTCTTGTTTCCTGTGATAATGGTTCTCCTCTGCTGGTCTTTTGAGGAAATTTAAGATCGTTTAGAGGGCTATAGAAAGGGCTATGTACGCAGTATCTGATAACTGGGTGATAGAATTTGTAACAAGGATATCTGCAGTAGAACCATAGTAACTGACATAACCTAACAGAATAGCGAACTGCAATGGCTATGGGTGTAATTATTTAACAAATATTAGATCAAGTTTAATTTACTTATTTCTTTTCACCAACAATAATCTTGTATCATTTTTAGTCCAACAGTCTTAACATAAAGAAAATATTAATAATATCTTACTTGATAAAATGGATATTTTATTATTATACCAACCAATAGTTAGGATATTTGCCCACTCAGGTCGGACCTAAATATCATGGCTTTTACTTATATCTTAAATTTATGAGATAGAGTGGATGAATATGAGTATCACTCGATACCATACTGTTACAGCCTATTAAAGTCCACTGCTGAACATAGGCCACTGCTATAGACTCCAAGGGGGGATAGTTGCCATGCTTGGCAAGCGGGTTGGCAACTGCAGTATATTATTTTTGGTTGTTATTAGGAAGATGTTGATGCCCATTTCCTCATTTGTTTCCCTCTGCCGCCTCATACGACACTCGTGAGATGATATGAGGTAGTGGTATTCATACCCGGCCATGTGATGAGAAAATCAACAACAAAAAATTTAAGAATAAACTAACATCTCAAACGTCACATTTAGACATATCTGACACAAGTGTCACTTCAGCGGGACGAGTTCTGAGTAAGCCATTTTTGGACTTCAACTGATGATTTTTTTTTGTTTATCTGTTAATATAATAATAGTTTTTATTATTGTCAGATAAAATAGTTAAGCCTACGATTGGTTGTGATAATGTTCTATTAAATTCTGGTAATTTACCATATGCAAATATTTATATAAATCAAATCAATCAAATCAAATAATTTATTCAGTATCAGAGTTTTTACATAGCACTGTTATGATTGAGGATTTCTTTTAAGTAAATAAAAACTTGTGATAGAAATCCCCCCTCTCCGTAACATTGATTATCGAATACTAATGTGATACCTACTTACTTCAATACTTAATCTAAAAACATATTTTTAATTTTGATTTTTAAAGTTGCTCCACAACAGACAAATTACAGTAGATAAAAATATATGCTTTCTAAACAAATTTTACATGATACACAAAGGATTTACAATATTACAAAATAAGTGTGTGTGTGTGTGTGTGCGCGCGCGCGCGCGCGTGTGTGTGTGTGTGTGTGTGTGCGTGCAAATAGCGTAGATCTATAATATATAAATAGCGTAGACTTAATTACTCTCATAAAACTCTAATAACGTTACAAATAGCGTAGATCTATAATATATAAATAGCGTAGACTTAATTACTCTCATAAAACTCGAAAATTTTCAAACTAACATTAGTGCAGTGCCGCACTTGGACAAAGTATTGAACGCCAGACTAATGCAGCCAGCCGCACAGTGTAGACTTTCTTCAACCACGCATATGCGTTTATAGCACCACACAAATTCTTTTGTTTCAGTAATGTTGTGTGGGGTGGAGGAGTGGCTAGTAATGGAGGCCCTTCACCAACAATCTCCCTACTGTATCCCAGCATCTCATTGCATGCTATACAAAGAGAACCTTCACCGGCATTGTACATGGTGCTGAACTATGAGCTTAGGTGAGGAAGTCACTTATGTTTATTAATAAATCAATCTTTGCTAGGTGGAAGGACTCCTTTTTCTGCCGACTTCCAAAAAGGAGATGGTACTCAATTCGACTGTATTTTTTTTATGTGTATTACCTCATAACTTTTAACTTTATTATTTCGATGATTTCTTTTTTTATAATATGAAAGCTGATACTTCTCGTGTGGTCCTATATGAATTTGATCAAGGACAGACCCGTAGTTATTGAGTTATTCTTAATAACTTATTTTGAAGTCGGCTGTACAAAATTTTTAATTTTAAATTATTGCCTAGCAGTTTCTCTAGGTAGTTTCCATCTTGTTATCTATTTGTGGCAGCAAATAGCATTGCGTGCTATTTGGTATTCCAGTCTGAAGGACATAGGGAGCCAGTAAAATTACAGGCTGTGAGGCAATCGTACGTAATTTACGTGGTAGAGCCACGCTGCAGCTATATAGTGGTTGCAGCACCAATGGGGCGGCTTGACCGGGGTACGACCATACGCTCCAGAACACCAGCGTAATGCTGCTGTGTTTCATATGGTGAGTGTAGATAACTGGAAACGAGGCATTCCATCTCAGTTCTCAGGGGGTGCCAACGCATCTGCATTTTGATTCTTAATTGTGGATAAATGTGGATGTCTATGGGCCACAGCATCCCCTTACCATCGTGTGGACTGTGTGCTCGTTTGTCACCATTATTCTATAAAAAAATCGATCTTAGTGCTCAGAGGTAAAAAAGCATTGTAGCCTTAGTTTGAAGTTGGTTGCGGGTGACCATAGACCGCAGCAGCCACTTGTGGTGCACTGTAAGTTCCTTTGTTTCTTCAATGTTATAAAAAAGAAACTTAAGCTTGAGTTAGTTGTTCCACAGCTTTACTTCTTGTTTTTTTGATTTTTCACCAATTTTGATGATTCTTTTTTTATTAAATAGGTTAATACTTCAAGGCTGGTCCCATATAAATTTGGAGAAAAAATTTCACTTCTAAGAGTTGCAAATAAATAACTTCTTTTACAGCAATTTTAAGTCAGTTTTTACTTTTTCTTAAACTTATAATTATTTTTTATAAGAAACTAGCTCACCAGGCAGACATTGTTCTGCCCTTTCCAACGACCCTTCCTATAAAAATCCTTAAATTCGCAATAAAAAATTTCGAGGGTCATTTATCGGGATAAAAACTATCCTATTTCTCAAGTTGGACCAAAATGCACACAGTGTGCAAAATTTAATTGAAATCAGTTTAGTAGTATGAGTCCATTGCAGACAAACAACGTGACATGTAATTTTTATATATAAAGATTTATTTTTAAGTGTATAATTAGTGTTGTGCCAGAGGGCAACTAAGAAAGGATTTTCCAAAAAAACTGCCTCATTATGGGGAGGAATATAATGAGGTATATTTGTTTGTTAGAAAATGTAGTAGTGTAAAAATAATCTTGATTAAGTTTCCCCTTCATAAGAAGCTGTAATAGCTTCTTTATATAACCCCTTATTTTTTATATAAAAATGTTACAAACAAGCACACATTCCACCTGATGGTAAGTGGATGCTGTGGCCTATAGATATCTACATCTGCGTTCGATAAAAAATTAAAAAGCAGAATGTTTTCTCACACCTGACGACTAAGATGGATTAGCTTATTTGCTGTAAAAATAGTCTCCGGTTCACTCAACTTACCATACAAAACACAGTAGCATTAAACTGATATTTGACACAGGTATTTTGTACACATAATACAGTGCTTAATTTCCATTATGCTAAACATTTATTATGAAAACAAGCATTTTCAATTTGATCACTTGCAGATTACCAGAACTAAATCAACAGGCAAACGATGCTGGGGATGAAGATGACGATTTTGATGTTGATGACCAACCTATTACACAATTGAGGTAAGTGACAACAGGAGAGTAAAAATGTTTTATTAGTGTATGATTTTTTCTTATGCATGAACATTGGTTTTTAATAACTACATTGCAGTATAAATTAATTTATAATTTTAATTACAATAAAATTTACATTTACAAATCTCAAGCTAATATGCAAATATTACTATTTAACTTAATACATTAATTTTCATTTTAATAAATAAACAAGCGATCCGCCCCAGTTTCGCACGGTTGATTTCTGTATCTCGACAACAACGCCACCTATCAGATCCAATTGTGAATCTAAACCATTCTCTAATCAACTTAATTACACATAACATTTCATCATAATCGGTCACATACACACGTACAGAACAATTATATAATGTATAATATGCATGTATTATACGTATAAACCTTCATCTTGAATCATTCTGTCTATTGATGAAAACCACATCAAAATTTATTGTGTAGTTTATAAGATCTAAGCGTACAGACGGTGGGAAGTGACTTTGTTTTATACCATGTAAAGATAAATTTGAGAAATTTATATATAATTTTAAAAGTATTATATTATCTCAAAATAATCTGTTACACTATACAAACATTTATCAATAAGCCATGATTTTAGGGCCTTATAGTCTTAGCAGTTGTACGCTTGGGTTGCGATTTAATTTTGTTAATTATTGTATCCCGAGCAGATGGTAGCATTCAGCCATCTTTTCTATTGAAATAAGTTTTTTTATTTCAACAGCTTTGTGAATCACCCTTGGAAGGAACCCGAGTTCTTTAGTGAGGATTGTGGTCTATCAAATCTAATGGCAGGGACTATAGACGAAAGTTAGTGTTATTGTAGTGTATGTATGTTTGTCTGTTTCTTTATGAATTCCTATAGGCACAAAGGCTAGTGCGAGACCTTTTTATATTTACATGGGGAAATGCCTACGCATACCCACCTCGCGACGGCAAGGATGGGTTATGTCAGACACTCACCGATTAAAACCGATGTTCCACCTTCGGCGCATATTGACAAAACCACGGGAACGCATTCGCTCGCATCCGCGGCCACACCTGCGCCGGCCGCCTCATGGCAGCCACCTCAGGGGAGGATTATACCCCCCCTTTCGCTAGTGAAAGACCACTGTTTTTATAATTGCTTTAATATATATTCACATCACATATTGTTTACATATTCCATAGATTCGTACCACAAAATGAGGGAGATTTGCAAGCTATGTATTCGGCGATGAGTCAAGGCCAGTCATTGCATCCGGATCCGGCAGATGAAGTAGATGACGAGGACCCTTATCTTGATGGAGAGGAGTTTGATGAAGGTATGCTAATATTATCCCGGAGGTGTGGGAAGTGGATTACAGAAGCCAGTCCTTGGTTATGCTGAATGTATGTGGAAAAGCAGGTGTATCAGGATCATGTCAAACGGAACTATCTATATTTCATGTAAACTCTTTACCTAATTTACCTGCTTTGTTGTCCTAATTAATTTTGAGTGATATTAATAATGAGTGAGTGACAGTGATGTCCTTAATTTTAACACATGCACTCGATCGATACCTGCTGCTGTTCCCTGAAACATGTACTTTATAGGGTTCATAAAACTAGCGGCTTCATTTTCGGTAGATGTTTAACTATTTATAACAAGATTTCCTGTACCTAATATTACCGATTTGCCTTTGCAAGTTCAAAGCGCTTGTAAAAAGCATTCTTACCAAAGCAAAGATATTATAAATTTGGTGATTATTTAAAAGATATAAGATTGTGTTTACATAATGAGCTTCCTTAGATTTTATCAATACATAGAAATAAAATTGAAGTGTCTGTCTGTAATATTGAAAGAACCGGCTTCTATTAATCACAGGGTATCATTTGCATGCTATTAAAACATAAACAACCTTTCATTTTATTTTGTCTGTTCATTTGTCCGGGCTGATTTTCGAAATGCCTGAACCGATTGTGTTGAAACTTTACTAAAGCCCGATTTACACTTCGACAGGTACAGTAGTGAGTTAACTTGCGAACCTGGTGAGTTAAGTAAAAAAAAAACTCGTTTGGACGGCAATTAGAACAATTAAATTGAACGGGATAGCCGGCCGGGCTATTTTTCGGCGAGTTAAGTAAGTGTTGCCCTCCTGCTCGTTTCTCGCCACCCGCAATTCAGTGCATAAGTTGACAGGACGCAACGTGGTTCGCGTTCCACCCTCAAAATATAAAATTGTACTTTTTTAACTAAACTCGCCACAAATACATTTGAACGCTATTGGCCCACTTAACCGTTTACTGTCATCAATTGCCCTGTAACTAAACTTGCTACTGTACTTGTCGAAGTGTAAATCGGCCATAACAAATAGAAAGCAATGCTTGAATGGATATAGGCTATATTTTATGAAACGAAACAATTGAAAATTTGGAAAAAAAAAGGTAATACTAATCTGAAAACTAATATCGCTAGATTAATAGATCCTATCCAGGCATAAGTTGGAAGAAAAATATGTATGTAGTTGTAAATTTCTTGCAACTCTCACAAGTTTCTCACAAGGCTTCCCTCAGCAGGGATTTGTTGACGAGATGGTGTAGCTTCTTTGACAAATTTTGAATAATCGAGCCATGCTGCAGCTATACAACATGTAACAAAATCCCTGTGGTTCCAGTTAAGTGCGTTATCAGAGTCAGTATTCAAACGTAAAGAAATAACTTTATTTCAAAAAAACTTGAACATTAAAAAATATTTTAATTAAAAAAAAGTTTCCAAATTGTATGTGGTTTTATTACCCCTGCATTATACGGAGAATAAGAGGATTTTGAAAGACCCCCCTTTCACCGATGCTCGTATCAGTTAGAGGTAATAAAAAACCACATACAATTTGCAAATTAATTTTTTTAATAAAAATAAAAAAATTTGATGTTCAAGTTTTTTGTAAAAAGTTATTTCTTTACGTTTGAATACTGACTCTGATAACGTACTTAACGGGAACCACAGGGTTTTTGTTACACGTTGTATAATAGTTGTAACACAAATGGGTCAGCTTGACCGGGTAAGCACAAAATACAGCAGCGTAGCAGTTAATTACTATACTATATTTCGTAGCAGCTTAATGCGTTTGTATGGTGTGTGTAAAGTACCGGAGATCCTTTTTAATGGAAAACGAGGCATTCCATCTCAGTTCTCAGTGACAATGCATTTGCATTTTGATTTTTAATCGAGGATAGAGATATATAAAAATAAACTATAAAAAAAATTTTAACGACTGAACAATGTTTCAGGTGAGGAAGAGTTTGAAGATGCCGAAGAGGTTGAAGCAAGTCCAGCCGAGCGAATGAGGCAACTGCGTTTGGACGCCTCCAATGGAGCTCACTACCAAGGTAATTTGTTTCTACGTGGTATACTTGGCATAAAAATTTTTTTTCCGACAACAGTATTGCTACAGTGTGGCTTAAGGTGAGTAGAGTAGAGAACTGGAGACCCTTTTTCTGCCGACTTCCAAAAAGGAGACGGTACTCAATTAGACTGTATGTTTTTTTTATGTGTTACCTCATAACTTTTTACTGGGTGAACCGATTTAGATGATTCTCTTTTTACTTGAAAGCTGGTACTTCTCGTGTGGTCCCATATGAATTTGATCAAGGTCATACCAATAGTGTTTGAGTTATTCTTAATAACTTATATTGAAGTTGGCTGTACAAAATATTTAATTTTAAATTATACTGGTAACAAGACATTTCATCTTAGTCTTCTGTGGTAACAATGTATCTGCATTTCGATTTTTAATCGATGATAGATGTGGATGTCCATGGGTCACAGCAATCACTTACAATCAGGTGCACTATGTGTTTGTTTGTTAGTTATTTATTATTACATTTGAACAGTGGTAGAGCCAGGCGGCAGCTTTTGCTGTCGCATGGATGGGCCGGCTCGAACCGGGGTGGTACCACGACCTCACAGAATACCAGCGTGAAGTAGAGGTTTACCTCTGCGTTTCGCTTGGTGAGTGCAGGTGGCCGGAGGCCCTTTTTACTGGAAATGAGGCATTCCATCCTAGTCCTCACGGGTGAAAACACATCTGCATTTTGACCTGTAACAGAGATGTAGATTTCTATGGGCCGCAGCAACCACTTACCATCAGGTGGACTGTGTGCTCGTTTTTCACCCTTATCCTATAAAAAAAAAACAGCTTATTTTAACTAAAAACTAAAAAACTATTACAACGATTAGACTACACCCGGGTCATATACTATGCAGTTCGTTTTTATTTATTAAGGTGTCTTCTTCAAAGCTCCAAATTGTCCTATGTTTGGACATACACTATTCATACATCATCATCCACTGCTAGGCCATCCCCATAGATTGCCTCATAGGGAGATATTTCCCATAGTTGCCACGTTTGGCAACTAGGTTATCAACTGCAGTTTCCTATTATTTTGGGCTCTAATCAGGAAGATGCTGATTCATCTCCTGCTTCAGTGTCTCCTCTCACAACACCCATGGAATGACATTAAACAGTGGCTTCTCTTACTCCGCTACTATACTGCAAGTTTTTTCATGTGTCAAAACAATTACCATAATTCATGATAAAAAAAATGGTTTCCTGGAGAAACTATTTTGTTATACTTAATTAATTTTCTCGCTTGTATTACAATAATTCATTGTTATCAGTTAATATTGCTGTTACCCGTTATGTAAATTCACCATTCATTTCAGATTGCGAAGATGCTGAGATAGAGGAGGAGTGATTATCTCGAGTGGATAGATGAAGTAATTACACATTTTCATTTAATAATTGTGTACAGTTTATACCACACAGTTTGCTATATGTGCAACAGTGAAGTAAAAAGACTGGCATTGTCGCTCAAAGGTATTAAGTTTTTTTTTTTAAATGTAACAGAATAAATGCATAAAGCATGTTACTCCGTTCTTCCTTATTTGAGGTAGGAGCGTTTTGTTTAAAATATTGGCATAATAATGTTCTTTAATAAAGTTTTTTATTGTTTTTTATGAAATGAATGTGTCAAAATTCTAATGCAGTGTAAGGCTTTTATACCGGATGTTGTGATTTATCATACAATAAATTAAAACTGGGTTATTACTAGTTTGATAGACTGTTTTAAAATAGTTCATTTTATTTTTATCACAATATGAAAAATTTAATTTTTTCAAACAATAATTTTTTTTTAAATAAAAAAGGAAAGGTGTTTGCGCTGGTTATAAATAAAATTTAACAATATATTATTCCCTGTGAATGCCTTCAATCGCTACTCGTTCACAAAAAGTAATTTCACAGACAATATTATAATGTTAAATTTTATTTATAACAGGCGCAAACAAAAGGCCTTACCTCATAATCGTTGATTAGTGCTTGCTTGACTTAAGTATTATCTCTATACCTGTCTTTCTCCATTGTTATTTAGTGAACAGAGAGAAAACGTTGTAAGCATTGCTTAAATAGACGTCGATTTTATGAGTAAGGCTGTAAAACATTTATATTGTAATACTTTTGTATGGCATTATTTTGGAGGCTGCCTAGGAGTGCCAACGTAGATGTCATTCACTCGACCTTCCCTTATCGCATACGGTTAGAAGACGTCGAAATGACAATGTCGCTTTTTTATTTTGTGGATACAGTTGCCTTGTGAAAAGTGATATATCTACATTGTATGTAAACACTACAAAAACGAAATTCCAGTGGCTACACTATTGTTACTATATTTGACTGAATTTTTGTGAACGATAAAAAACGCTTTATAAATGGTTAGTCGTATCATTTATTGTATGTACCATGGTGCCACCCTGTGATAGGCACTTGTCCCGCTGCCAACGATGAACGAGAAGCGAGTAGAGCTAGGAGCGAGTGTATAGTTTCTATACTTTTGTCTCTGGGCTGTAAGCGAGTGCACTCGGATCCATACAATAGAGTAAAATGACCGCTGGTTGGTCTCTCGGCGCGAGTTCTGACAGCCAAGCGAGTATCGCTAAGCGATTTTTACCTTTAACTAGTGATCCGCCCCGCTTTCGCACGGTTGATTTCTGGATCTCGACAACAACGCCACCTACCGGGGCCAGTTGTGAATCTAAACCATTCTCTAATCAACTTAATCACACATTCAAAATTTCATCCAAATCGGAACCAGCCGTTTAGGAGTTCAGTCAAACACACGGACAGAAGTTTATTTAAAAATTATCTAATATATAATATGCATGTTTTAAACATAATATAAACCTTCCTTTTGAAATGTGTAACATTAGTTAATAAACAGCCACTAGGGATGGTGTAATCTCTGGCGGAAAATCAAAAAAAGAAACCTCTCTCTTGAATCATTGTCTATTGATGAAAACCGCATCAAAATCCGTTGCGTGGTTTAAAAGATCTAAGCGTACAGACTTTTTAATACTATGTAGAAATAGCTCTTGTCGCTGCGACAAACTAGTGTAGAGACAGTTCTCGCCGGCAGTGTGAACAGCTCTTTTATCGACTCTTTTATTTGACACTGGATTTATATCTATTGTTCGTTTCTTGACTGAGAAAACAGTCCAGAGCTAATCGCTTTCTCGTCGACGGTGGGACAAGTGCCTTATGTGACATTTATTCAAGTAATTGAAGTAGAAAGATGTTTTTAGTCAATGATATTATATACAAAAAAAAAATCAGATATGTTGTTAGCGCGCGTAGTGAAAACTCGGTAACATCCTAAATGGGGGCGTTTTGTTTCTAAATAAACACTGTATAGAAAATGTTAACAATAATAAAACGCCATAATGTGTTAAAAGATGTAACAGTTATGATTCTAAAGTTAACAAAACACAAGGAATCTCATATCACATATATATCAATTATTTTCCTAATATTTTGAAATTGTGGAGGTTAGAAAAAAAAGAAAGAGACGGCAAATAAATTTGAAGATGCGATGATTGGTTGCCTGAGTGAAGTTTGTTTATACTTGCATGTAAACATAGCTAACCCCTTTTTTCTTATTATTTTAATCACGTCATCCTTTTTACACTATTCAGCATTGTTGTGAATTGTAAGATAAACTAAATGTGTGTGAACTATGAATGTGTGCCGTCACTATCTTTGGAACACTTCGATAATTTTGTGAGATTATAACATATCTGTAGTATATAATATCATTGATTTTTAGTTCTTAAATGTTAGTTTAATGGCAAAATGTGGCAACCAATGAATGTAAATGCTTTATGATGTCTTCAAATATAAATTTATTCTAGAACTGTTGTGTGTTGATGTGAATATTATCTAATGTAGTTCCGTACATTATCTTAATTTTGGCTTACAAATGTATCTTGACATATATTTAATGATCATTATTACATTTTGTAATTTTGATTACTCACATATTTAAAATAAACATCAAATTGCTACTGTAACGAAGATGGCGCAGATGCTAATGTTTTAAGTAACTTTAGATAAGTCGTGAAAGCTTTGATACATATTGTAAGTTATTGATACACCAATTATTGTTAAAAATATTCGGTAATAAAAGTATGAATAATTAAAAATGTTTTATTTAATTTAATAAATATAATATGTTAGTACTACTTGCGTTGTGGCATAAGGAGCCACAACTCATTTTAGTAGTTTGTTGTCTTACGATGAACTTTCTAAAAGGACAATGACGAAGTCTCAAACAAATTATTGACATTTTTTTCTGGCGTCTACAAATTAAAAATATGTAAAAAAAAATACATAACAAATATTTTTTACGTGGTAGAGCCATGCTGCAGCTATAGTTGTAACACGAATGGGTCGGTTCGACCGCCGAAGAACCACGCTGTTACAGAATACCAACGTCAAATAGCAGCTTAACGCTGCTGTGTTTCGTATGGGGAGTCATACTACTGCAGGAAGTCTGAAATTAAAAATGTTCCAGTTTGAATAAAATTCACGTCAGACTAGGCTGTATGGTATAAGAACTTTATCTGCCTGAACTTATGTACCTAGAGTAATTACTAGCATAGAGGGAATCCTAAAATAATCCATTAGTTTAATGAAAGCTCACTGAACCTAGCTCCACTGATGGTTTTTATTAATGGTTCGAACATAAAAATTGTTTGTTCGTCTTTTAATTATATATACAGGATATCCCGGTAATGGTGGATAATCTGGTACGTACGTGCCGGTTCCCTAAAAAATATTAAATTTGACATAAAATTACTTTGCGTACATCCGCTAGATAATAAATTTTATCTAGCGGATGGGCGCAAAGTAACGCCTGATTCTATTAATTACCCTAAAAAGATAATTCTATCCCGAACGGTTCGCGCTCTACGCCATAAAATTCCGAAAATTCGTACTTCTGCTCACATTTGTGGACATCACTTTTAATGTGTTCCCTAATAATGATGTTTCTAAATTACCTTTAAAAGTTTTCAAACTACTGTGTATGATGGGTGGTATTTTGCAAGAAGATGGCACTAAACATAAGTTTAAATTTTTTACTTTACTTAACTGCAAAGTTTTAGCAGCAGTGGTAATAAAAAACGTAAGGGATCTGTGTGGCCAACCATTTAAAAAGTTTGCCTACATCATGAGGATTCTAAAACAGTAGCATACCATGTGCTTAATGTCATTACTTACTGAGCTATAGCCGTTAATGTGTAAAAATAGGCATTTCATTACAAAATTATTTGCAGATAGTTATTTTTAAAATTGCATGTATTTATTAGGTAAGTACAATAAAATTCAGGCCATGACTGCTCTCACCCTAGGCCTGCGCGACCAGGACTTAACTGTTCTGGAAGCTCTCGGTAAGGAAGTAATCTACGAGCAGCTCCTTGAGGCGTTGGAGACGAGATATGGCGACGCTCACCTGGAACACGTCTTTAGTGCGCAGCTCAAAGATCGCGTGCAACGCAGCAACGAAAACCTGCAGCAGTGGGCGCTTGAGGTGGAGAAGCTGGTTCGGAAAGCATACCAGTCTGTACCTGCGCTCATTGTAGGGAACCTGGTGCAGACATTCATCGACGGCATCCGCGACCTTGAAGTCAGAGCTGCTGTGAGGCTCGGGCACCACGAGACGCTTAAGGACGCGTTGGCCCATGCACTGGAGGTGGAAGCCGTGCAGCAGGATCATCTATCCCATCGCGTCAGGGAGGTTTCAGCAGCTACAGTTCCCGACCGCAATAAAGGATACTAGCCCTAGCCCTAGGTGCTACGGCTGTGGGGAAAGGGGCCATCTTCGATCCAGCTGCCCTAAGAGAGCTGTAGAAAGGGAAGGTGATAGATCTCGAGAGGGTAGTGCGGCTAACAGCACCACCCAGCTGCAGCAGGGAAACGAGTAAGAGCCAGGACTGCGGGGCCGGTGCTGACTGATGTTAAAAGAGCCCCAAGGATTTCGATCTCACAAACCCATGATAGGAACATCCTAATCATCAAGGGCGAGGTCAACGGAACGCCGTGTAAACTGACCATAGACACTGGAGCCTCTCGCAGGGTTGTCAGTTCCCAACTAATAAGTCAGTTCGTTGGGGACTCCGCATACAACCGAGAACGCATTAATTTGGTGACAGCCACCGGTCAGCGCATACCCGTCCGTGGAGAGAAGGAGATGAAGTTGAAGCTAGGCAACATGATCTACCTGCATAATGTCATCGTGGCTGATATAATGAATGACTGCATCCTGGGCCTAGACTTTATGAGGAAGAATTGTTGTGAGATCGACATTAAGCAAGGTGTTTTGAAATGTTGACAAGAGGAACTTTTCGTGGAAGGGGCGTTACC